GAAAAGACAGGACTGCCGGTCATTTAGTATTTTGAAACGCTGTGGCTATATGACCGGCAGTCTGGTATTTTCACTAAATTAATTTTCGACTTATCTAAGAAATAAATAAATTCGACTTATCTACTTATCGACTTATCTAAGAATCGTATCTAAGAATCCCTACCAATCCCAACTATCATATGTCGATTAAGAAAAGTCAAGCGATCCTGAAATGCTTTACAGATCTCAAGCCTAGCGTTTGATTTACGCTGGGCTCAGAAAACGAAACCATGTTTAATGACACTTGGAGCTTTTCTCAGCTTCCTCTTTCCTCTTTCCGCTTTCCTCTTTCCTTTTTCCTCTTTCCTCTTTCCTCCTTCCTCCTTTCTCTTTCCTCTTTCCTCTTTCCTCTTTCCTCTTTCCTCTTTCCGCTTTCCTCTTTCCTCTTTCTCGACTTATCTAGGAAAGATCGAAGCGACTCTGCTAGCAGGATAGACTGCCGGTCATTTAGTGTTTTAACAATCTTGACCGGCAGTCGACTTGAAAAAAGTTCTAACCGAGTAAACCAAACGCTAAACTTCAGATATATAAAGTGTTTCAGGATCGCTTGACTTTTCTTAATCGACATTTGATAGTTTAGATTAGAAGGATTTTGTCGATTTGTCAAATTTATTGAGAATATAGGACTGCCAGTCATTTAGTGTTTTAAAAACCTTGACCGGCAGTCAACTTGAAAAAAGTTCTAAGTGTCACAAAACATGGTTTCGTTTTCTGAGCCGAGCGTAAACTAAAGGCTAGACTTGAGATCTATAAAGCATTTCAGGATCGCTTGACTTTTGTTAATCGACATATCGTGATAGTTTGGATTGGTTGGGATTCTTAGTTAAGTCAAATCTATTGAAAATACCGGACTGCCGGTCATTTAGTGTTTGAAAACCTTGACCGGTTACCGGCCATATAGCCCGGCATAGTAAATCGAACGTTCGAAAATCGAACTAAATCGAACTCAATCCGTGGATTGAGTTCGATTGAGTTCGGCAATCGAACGAAATCGAACACCACACTTTCAGTGAGTTCGATTTCCGAACAAATCGAATTCAATCGAACAAATCGAACTCAATCGAACTCAATCCGTCTGATTTTGTTCGATTGAGTTCGGAAACCGAACTCAATCGAACACAATTAAATGGATTTCGTTCGATTGGCTCTGGTGAACCTATACAAAGCAAGCCCAAAGCAAGCCCGTCAAAGCAAGTTTTTCTTGCGCTTTTTTTACT